CATAAATATCTATAATGAAGTTTTTAGCCTTTCTATATACATATAATATGGGTATCCTAGGCTCTTAGTTAACAAAATATAACTGAATTCTTTTTCATATGTTAAAATAACATTTGAATAGTTTCGACAAAAATAACGTTGATTATGAAACAAACAAAGGTCGAATTCCACTTCCATTATGGTGGAGGGTGGTACTGGCAGACTGCATGAATATGTGGCTTAGGCCATCAATAATGGCGGTTGAACGAAATGAGTTGAATTGAGTGTCATGTAGGGGAGAGAGAACACAATTCATAAAAAAACTAACATTTTACACCAATAACTTCTATGATGCCTTCAATCTTAATTGAACTCTCTCTCTCTCTCTCTCTCTCTCTCTCTCTTTCTCTTCAATATTATATTCAATTTTATTCTATTAAACCCTCATTCAACTCTCATGAGGATGCCCTTAGTGAACCCGTTTTACAATCTATAAACATAAGCATTAGTTAGTTGTACGTTGTGTTTGTATATTTGTACCAAAATATATGGGTTCAAGACTTTCTCAACCTCAACAATTTCAAGCACAACCATCTTAACCCCAAACTCAAGTCTCATTTTCTTAATCCCAACCTACATGTGACATCCCCATTTTTCACGGCCAGAAAAGACCGATTTTGTTTATGCTTTATAAAAATCAGAGTACCTCTTTTAATAAAAATGTTGCAGAATTTGTTCCCAGAAAAACGTTATCAAAGCATTTCCAAAGAAATATATTTTTATCAATTTTAAAACATTTGGGATGTCATCGTCAATACAGAAACATAAGCATAAACAGAACTTACATTCATTTACACTAGTGATCTACATCTCTTTTAAATCTCTCAGTATAAAGTAGCTTCATATCGACACATGTGATACAAATAAGCTTGAGTGGGTCAGGTTGGGAAACCAGGTGAGTACATAGGGTTTTCAACCCACAATAATTTAATTATTATGTTTAAACATCAAACAATCAACCCAATTACTCATCCCCATTATCTTCCTTACTCTTAACGATCTACCCTAAGAATCATCTATCCTGCATTCGTTCATTTCGAAGCCCATTGCTTCCAGGGTTTATATGATAGGCACTAAGTCCATAGTTGTCAATGCTTGTTCGTAAAGCACTAATTCCATAGCTGCTAAAGTTCATTCATCGGGTACTAAATCCATAGTTACCGGTGTTCAGCTAATAGGTACTAAATCCATAGCTACCAACATTTATTTAACAGGTACTAAGTCCATAGCTAACAATGTTTATTCTATAGGCACTAAGTCCATAGTTGCCGATGTTATTTGTTAGGCACTAAGTCTATAGCTGCCAATGTTCACTCATATCATCTTTCATCTCTCATCATTCATCTACCCATGTTTTACCCAACATATTCGTAGATATAAAATACATATTCATTTTAATATATTTAAAACATGTATAAAATCGTTCATCCAGCATAGAAAGCAAGTATTCAAATAATATGCACACATACCATGTAATTTATATAAAATAGTTCATATCTATGTGTAAGATGAAAGTAACTATGCACTCACCTGCAATGGTGGTGACTCGGTACTCGGACAGCACTTCGTTTACTTTAAAACGGATTTCCTTTAACAAAACCTAGTATCATTTCCACTAGAGTTTAGTCTAATGTTCAACGAGACTAATTAATAGTCTAACTATTATTACTATTATATAAGCGTTAAACAATACTCTTCACCCACTATGTACAGACAGGGGCCAGACATGAAACACCCGAGGGCATGATCATTTTGGCATATAGCACTTCTGAAATCCAACAACCCAGGCGGCCCTTCAAACCGGATTCCCCGTACCGCGAGTGGTTAAAAAGATATTATAACGACAAACCCGTAATAATAGCTCAAATAATTATTATAAGGTCCTAATAACGTTACTATATTTAAATAAAAGCTATATTAAAAATTAGGTAGACGTATCTTACCTACGAGGGGGTTTGGCTAGAAGCCGCGTTCTGCAGGGGCAGAACTTCCGAGCTGAAAGCTCTTCTTCTTGGAGCCGTCGAGCGCTCCAGGGCTTTCTTCTAGCGCTAGGGGAGTTTTGGGAGATTTAGAGATAGAGTAGAGAGAGAAGGATGGAGGTGTGAAGAAATGAGGGTGGAAGGGGTTGTATTTATAGGGTGAAATATGGCTGAAATTAGTGTCACATGTCACCATCTAGTGGCAAGCCTTTGGGAGAAAGCAATGACCAAGATTGTGTCACGTCACCCTTTTTGCAGCAGCACCCTGCCGACTTCTAAACCCCGTAACTTTCGCATACGAGCTTCGTTTTCGACGTTCTTTATATCCACGCGTAGGTTAAAAATAAGATCTACAACTTTCATTTTGACTCCGTTGGCTAATTCTCGACCGATCTTAAATTTAACAGTACGAGGAGATTATACTGTTAAATGTCCGCGTAAAATTCATAACTTCTACATACGGACTCCATTTTCGTCTGTATTTTTACCGTTGAGTTCCTATTAATGAGATCTTCAATTCTCATTTAGGTCGCGTAGGCCAAAAATCGTTTGATCTAAAATTCGAGTTTCGGGCCGTGCACTGCTATGCCAAATCTTAGAAAATTCATAACTTCCTCATACGAAGTCAGATTTGGACGTTCTTTTTTTGTATGTTCTCGGTTTAACGTATACTACAACTTTTGCTTAGATTTCTAAGGCTAAAAAGTCCTCCATCGTAAATTCACTATTTACGTCTCCCGGTGCCATGTCAGTTTTGCCGAAAAACTTCGACGGGCCATAACTTCTTCGTTATAACTCGGATTTCGGCGTTCTTTATATGTACGGAACCCTTGTAACATATACTACCGTTTGGTTAAGATTAATCCTTCTAACTAATCTTCCATCAAAACTCATTTTTGATGCTTATTGTCTCGAAATTGACTAGCCCGAATATGCGGGTGATACACTACAAACCTCCGACAACGACGACGAAAAGGTCCAAGAAACTCAACCACCAGCTAGAAGAAGACAAAAGAAAGGAAATGGTAAAAAAAATACTCGAGTTGGAGTGAAGAAGAGGTGAAGTTTTAGCGAAAGCTTGGATTTTCATATCGGAAGACAAGCAAACTGACAACGCGCAATCGACACAAAGTTTTTGAAATCGTGTTTTAGAGCACTTTCACGCGCAATTAGGAAAACGCCCATATCGGACGTACGACGTGGTCAACGAAAAATGGCGTGAACTACAAGGGGCTTGCACCAAATTTAATGACATATTTGAAAATCTTAAAAATATGCACAAACATGGTAGCAACGATTTCAATATTTTATCAACCGTGTGCTACTAATTCAAGCTTAGCAACGGCGGTAACTCATTCAGTCACCAAAAAACGTGACATGTTTGTCGTGACTTGTGAGGGTCCAAAATGGGTCCTTATTCCAGACGTACATTCGAAATCAACAACCGACTCCAATAAAAGGCCGAGAACATCTGAGTCGAGAGGGAGGGTCAACTAGAAGTCCCCCTTCGTCGACCACCGAGAAGGGACAAAAGGAAACAGGCGACATCTTTTCATCCTGAAAAGCGAGTATCAAAGAAATTCTTTCGGAAAAAATAGACAAACATACTTTTTCTCGAAAAAAAATATAAAAAAAATGGAGGAAGCTCTTTACAAAAAAATTGCACTTAACGATTTAAAAATTTAACACAAAGTCATCGAAAAATAAGGTAATTGGGTTTTATATTTTGATTTTTATGCGTTTTTATAAGTAATGTAGGTTAAAATATATAACATTTAATTTTTAATTTTTTTTCAATTTGTAATCTAGGTTTAAATTTCTAAGTTTTAGTGTTTAATGTAATTATTTTTATTAGTAAAATGTTTATTTATGTTTAATAATTATGTTGTTTATTTAATCTAATGTCTAAAAAAAATATAAATTATAAATTATAAATAATATGAAACGGAAACCATTTCTATGTTTATGATACTAAAAAATATAGTGAATATGATGTGACATACGGTTTGAAAATCAAGGAATGAATGAAGTCCATAAATGTTAAAAACTTAAAATCAACAAATAAAAATGTTTCAAATTTTTCGTTTTCTTGATCAACATGCTTTTAAAAAAAATCAAAATTTATATATGCGAGCATGAGTCGTCTGGAAATGAATGACAAATGATCACATACATGTATAATTCACAATCCGTGATCATTAAATGTCCAATATTTTATTTTCTGAAATACTCAACAAAATATACGACACATATTAACTAATAAATAAATGATTTGTTTTTGTCCATTTACGTGATGATTGACCGTTGAAGTATAGATGGGGGCATCCGGTCATTCAGTTTGCCAAATTTCAAACGCAACCATTTTCATTTGTTGTACATATCAAATTCAATCAATCGCTATTATTATAAACATGGCATGCCTTGGCAACTCATCACCACTTTATGAATCATATCATTTAATTAGGGGTTGGCTAAAAAGACACCTCTTTTTACCATTTAGACAACCCTAATTAATTTTGAAGTATTTTTATTAGTTGAAATTGCATTGTTTTCCGAAAAAACTGATTACAAGTAGTTTATTATAGGTTGACTTTTTATAAAAATGATAAAAATGATGAGAGAGTATTTAAGAGATGTCTTATTAGCAGCACCCTTTAATTATCAACCCCCGCAACAAATCAACACTTGTCCTATGCATCCCCTACCACCCTCCATTATCTTCCTTTTTTATTCAATCCTAGGTCTCTTTTCTCTTGTTTTGTCCTTTTTTTTTTCTTCACAAATATCTATATCTCATATTATTTTAACAAAAATAAACAGATTCAGAGTCACGTACATTACAACTTACTTAGTTTTATCAAACTATTTAATCGTACATATATATATTAATATAACAGCATATATATAAAAGACATTAAGATTCCATTATTATTATTTACTAGAATATTTGTTGGAAAGCATACCCGATTGATAAAAAAAGGATCAGATAGAACCTTGAGAGATCTTCGTCGGAGGAACCATCTTCCCATCTTGATTTGATACTGCTGACGTGGCAGCCATTGTTTGGTGGTACTGTTGTTGTTGTTGTTGTGTAACCAAATTCCCGTGCGCAGGATAGTAGACATGCCTTCCGACGCCGTTATCATACGCTACTTGACCGTACCCTGCGTCGGTCATCGCCGCCGTTGGCTGGACCATTCTAATCCCTTCCGGATGTGTAGGTAACTTCTGCGGTGGTGGTGGTTGTTGTGGAGGGAATATAGGTTGTGATTGTACCGGTTGCATGGCGTTGTATACCGGCTGGTCACGGTAAACCTCAGTCGCCGTCGGCATCCTCTGAACCGCATAATAACCCTGACCATGACCTGGATTGTGACCGATTGGACCAGTCACCGGTCTAGCCATTGGAGCGTGATACTTGTTTAGGGGAGGAGGTACCATGTAAACCGGTTGTTGATCAGGTGAGATAGTAGAAGCTGTGAATCCGCCGGAAATTTGGTATCCCGGTGCCGGAGAAGGTACACTTCCCGGTAGTGTTGTTGGAATTACTTTATCTGATGTTCTCTGGAGGTAATAATCTCCTGTGTAACCTGGAGTTAAGTTATCATCACTTTGTCTCCGGTAGAGAGTCTGTTGTTGATCTTCTGAAATTCGCAACCTCCGTAGATCCTGTATATGTTTCTGGATCCGATCTGCTCCAATTCCACGATCATCAAAAATCGGAACGTCTGCCTCATGAAGACGAATCGGTGGATCCACGACAGGAAGATCTCGAACTTTCGACACCACTACCGGCGGCGGAGGTACAACTTTCTCCGAACCGAAGAGAAAATCAGCATTTCCATGTGTCGGCAAGGCTGACGGCGGAGTTGAAGACTGAACTGGACCGGAATTCAACGCATCAACGAACCGGTCTCGCTCTGATCTTCCCTCGGTGGAGCCAAAACTATGAGCTGGAGTTATTGACGGAGTTTGAGTAGTTACAGGAAACAAAAACAGCCTCAATCTCGCCGGCTTTGGTGAAGCTCTGTTCAACCGATCGTACTCAATCATCATGTGGTCGAGATCGTCGTCGTTGGTGACGGAAATCAAAGCATCCAGATCTTCTCCAGGTAACTGATACTTGAAACAAACATCAGCATCACACAACGCTACTAACTTCGCGATAAGAGCAGTGAACTTAATGGAACGATCGACGGCTAATATCTTAGTCTCGCCGCCGATGTAAGCCAGCTGGTTATCATGAGGCCTTGGGTGGATTTTACCACCGTAACTACACATAAACTTGACTTTGTAGTTGCTGTTGTTGCTATTGTTCCCCGTCGACTGATCTTCCCATGGTGGTGGATTCTCGAAGTCGACTTCACGCGATCTCGGCGAGGATCCGCCGGACTCCGGGTAGGAATTGTAAGAGTAGTTCTCCATGGCGCACGTTAGTGAATAGTGCAGTAGAAAATTTTGAGATTGATAGGGTCAGTCTATCCAGAGACGATGACTGGAATTTGTGGGAGGGAAGTGGAAAATGGGCCTTTATTATAGTCTTTGTCTCGCAATAAATATTTGAATATTAATAAAACAAAATAATAAAAGATCTCAAACAAAAAAAACATTCTTTAAAATTTTTAGATCATATACATTAATACAAATATTTTAATAATAACCAGAAGCCGGAATTAGCTTTATATTTCACAAACTTATTAACTACTAGGCGAAATTCCGAAAATTACAATTGTTATTAATTTAGAATTAATGAATACTAATTTGCTACATATTGCTTAAGAGAATCTTGGTTGATTTGTCGTAAGAATAATGTTTTTAAGTCACATGGTGCGTCAAATTTAGCTTGATTTGGAAATAACAATGTCTGGAACGCCTTCATTTTCTGACACAACGTTCGATTGATGGGTGGCTCTTCGGTTGGATGTGGTTACAGGGTATATATGGCTGTTAAATGGCAGACTTTGATCTTCTGTCTGCATTGTAACCATTGTTTTTTACGTGTATAAATGAGGTATTTTGGACAATTTGTTTAAGAAATAATGTTTGATGTAATTATCGTAAAATTCTTAAAATATCTTATTGATTTTGTTCATGTTTATAGTTTATCGATTGGTAATTTGTGTATTTTGGTTCATATAAAACGTCATAATCATCGTTCTTCCTTGTGGAAGCAATACTCAGAATTTAAACAATATTGATATAGTTTTAATGAAGCACCAGGTAGCTATCAAACATATCTACATTTCCTTGCTTTTCTTTTGCATTGGTATAACAAATGACAAATATAAAATAGTAGAAAAGAACTAAGAAGATTTAAATTGTTTCCATATCTTTTTACGTTGGTTGTTGTCCATTCTTGAAATACTTTATAGGATATTTGTTCATCAATTATCATATGTAGAAAAATGATAGTATTTGCAGTTGCTGTTAAATTTGAGGTTTGCTTTCTAAAGGTCTACGTCATAAGAAGTTCAAGTCTTGGACACTGAATATAAGCTTATTGGAATTGAATAGTGTCCCATTTTACACCGATCGACAATTTTCATTTGTTAGAAACTTATAATCGAACACATTGACCGGAAGAATGACTTATGAGCTTGGTAAACTTATTCACCTTCAAGAGCTTCGATTGGACATGATAAAACTGGAAGGAACTATTCGTAGTGCGAATTCTACAGATTTTGCTTCAAGCATGAGATGAATGTAAGTTAAAAAAATGCCCCCATTGATTTTTATTACATCAGAAGGTTCAAAAAAAAGTTTTGTTTCAGTTATGTTTTTGTTTTGATTTGGTTTTGGTGTTTTTAATATGGATTTTTTCTTGGTTTAGTTTTTATCCGAGGAAGACCAAGGGAGTTCAAGATGGTGGTGGTAAGAGGTGCCCGATGGTGGTTGTTGATAGTGGTGCTAGGTGGTGGTGCTACACGCCAACAAGGATCAAATGTGGATTATTTGGTGGCATGTAATGTGACATGTTAATGGATACCAACTATTACAAGTTAGTTCTTATTAGTACCTAATTGTAGACTTTATACATTTAGACTATTAAAAAAACATTTTAAACCAAAACATAAGCCTTTGTAGGGTCACATTGACATATATTAGACAAACATATTTTCATTGCCTAGTATAATTATGTTTTTTGATTTTTTTTTATCTTTATAATTATTTTAACTTGTGTAGTCTTATTTTGTACCATAGCTTTAATTAGCGTAATGTTCAATATAAATTTGAATATAACATTGCATATGTCCTATTTTTATCTACATAATAATAAAATTTTGTCTTAATTTGATATATATACTAAATAACATATTTTTGATTTCAAAATCCATTTTTATTTTTATCATTATAAAGTATGTTTTTTGTATGTCCTACTGCTGAAATATGAAATTCTATAGACTTTCAAATCCACATGAATTTAATAAATTGTATGTTATTTTTTATGAAACCCAATATTTATGTCTTATTTTGAAATGTATTAAGTAAATTTTTGGTTTAAACTGGATAATTCAATGTTGAATAATTAGAAGGGAATTGATTAGACCTGGCAAAACATGTCACGACACGAACCCGACACGAAATTAGCGGGTTAGGGTCAGAGATTTTGACACGTTTATATAACGGGTTGACACGACACGACACGATAATTAAACGGGTAGAGTTAGGGTCAAGACTTTCAACTCGAATATGACCCGTTTAATTATATATTATTTATTATAAATTTCATATTTTTATAAATATATTATATGTTATAGACTTGTAGTGGGCCAAACTCAAGAATTAGAAATAATATTCAAATTTTCAAAGTTAGTTAATTTTATTCATCCTCACCACTTATCCTCTTTGCTCCCCAACTTCAACTCTTTTCATTTTGCCTTCTAAACTTACTAAAAAAAAATTTATTCCATCTTTTAACTCCAATGTTTCACTTTTTCATTTTTGTATCCATAACTCCTACTTTCCAACCTTTAAAATGTTTCAAGCAGACATGACACAACATATTTACAAGGTCTAGACCTTAACCCGAATCCCGACACGAAACCGACACAAAAATAAACGGGTTGACACGACACGACACGATAATTAAACGGGTCGGGTTAGGGTCAAGCCCTTTCAACCCGTTTAAGGTCTTTACACGACACGAACCCGCCACGACACAACACGTTTGCCATGTCTAGAATTGATTCGGTATTGCTTGATAAGATTGTAGAACGAATCTATTTTTTTTAAACGGCAAACTAAGTTAACTAACTAACCTACTTTTAAATACGCATCTATGTCTCCACTGAATCTATGTAATAAACAAATTACCATTTTAACATTTGGAGAAAAAAACCTACTTCAAAGCATATTATTAACCATAATTATTATTAACCATAATGAGAATTGTCCAAGTCCAAAATTACAATGCATATTATTGATTCATCAAACCCTTCAGTCTTCAAACCCAAATCTCCAAAATTACATATTTCTTAAATTGGACTTAATTTTTTAAAAGCATAATTTAATTCTAACCTTCGTTTCTCCTTATTCTAGCAACTATTTAGAAACATATTTCTTAAAGAAGTTAGTTTTAACTTTTATTTCTCCGTTTACAAAGATTTCTCCAACATTATGCAATATCTTATAAACATATTTCTTGAATGCAACAAATTCTCCATCGTTATGCAACGATTTCAGAAACATATTTCTCGAATGCAACTAGTTATAACCTTCGTTTCTTGACTTTCTTCAATTACTCCATTTTCTATTATACTTTTAAAATAAAATATAATAATAATTTATAAATAACAACTGAATATTTATTTCGGGAATTGTGTGGAATTTAAAAACAATAATGTTATTTTTGCAAGGGAGTTATAAAATAACAGGCGAGTACATGGTTGTTGTGAAAGATAGTTTTGAGGAGGAAGTGGTGGGATCCAGTAAGAAAAGAGACAGAACCTGGGATCCTGCCAACTTAACTATTGCCATTTGCCTGGTGAAATTTTCAAACACGACCAGGTCAAACACCTGTCCATGTGGATGGTGGAAACTAGGGATAAAAATTTGGCCTGAAAATCCAAATCGAACTGAAACCCGAATCGAACCGAACCGAAATAGGACCGAATAAGCAATTCAATTCGGGTTTTGGGTATCTATATTAAACTTATTCGGTTCGGGTTATCCAAATAAAAGCTTATTCGGTTCTAAATACCCGATTCGAATAAGCATTCCTCGTCCCTTTTCTCTGATCGACAGAAATCAAAATCATGATTCATACTTCTGTCCTTGTCATTCATCACAGAAAAAAAAAACCCCAATGCTCGTCCTTGTCGTTTCAAAATCGATCAATCTTCTCAACTATTGTCAAACTCGAAATCACTTTTGTCGATCCTTCCTCTTGTTTCAGACTTTCAAAAATTGACCATTCCTATTAACTCTAAGGATTCATAAATTCTTACTTTGTCTTTTTTTAACAGCTAAATTTTATAAAACACAACATTGGCTGGCAGTTGGGCGCTCGTGGGTCTTCCGATGAGAAACTTATGTTGAGAGTATTGTCGGGTAAGTCGTCTATGCCATTGGCTGGCAGTCGACGCCTGACTCTGCTCCTGAGGCTTGCAATTGCGAATATTTCCTCCTTTTTGATTGGTTGTCTATTCGCATCCTTCCGGGTTCTCCCGTCTTTCCGTTCGGCTTCGAACTTTGATTGTAGAGTCTTCGCAATTTCTGTTAAGTCTCCACTCAGTCGTTTGTCTTCTACTTCTTTTTTTAGGATCGCGCACTCTTCAGTTTCGTGGGTTTTTTTCTTGTGGTATTCACAATATTTGCTTTTCTCTTTTTCCGTCCGCTGAGGGGTTTTTTCTACCGTGTGTACTTCCATCTTAAGGCTCCTGGGTTCATCCTTGACGAATGGGCGGAATGTACGAGATAAGTGTCTCGAATGTCTGTTATGTTTATTATGGCTTCTATCGTTGCGCTCCTTATGGCTATGGCTGTAGTAGGAGTCAGTTGATTCTTGTTTGAGGTAGGCGTTCACTATGGCTTTTAGATTGGCTTGTTTGTGTTCTTCTCCCTCGATCTGTCTGAGGTATTTTTCGACCCTGTATTTAAGCTCGTCCCTAGATTTTGGCACTGTTCCTTGCATTTTCCTTGACAGGGGGCCTGGGAGTAGCCCATGGGCGAAGGCGCCAGTAACTAGAAATTCCTCATGGTCGGGGACGCTCAGGGTCGCGAGGGTAAACCGATCATAGTTTGCTCGGGGAGATTCTCCTTTTTTTGCTTGCATGCCATGATAGAGTTGGCATCTCCTTTGACTTTCCTCAATTGCTTGAAGTTGTGGAGGAAAATGTACCTCAACTGTTCGAAACTGGAGATACTTCCCGGACGTAGTGCCTTGAACCATTTGCTAGCATTTCCCGATAGTGTGACCGAGAAGT